AAGTTAGTTGATAATAACGTTAAAAAAGATAAAGACTGTATGTTAAACAGCACTCAGAGATAGTTGATAATAACGTTAAAAAAGATAAAGACTGTATGTTAAACAGCACTCAGAGATAGTTGATAATAACATTAAAAAAGATAAAGACTGTATATTAAACAGCACTGAAAGTTAGTTGATAATAACATTAAAAAAGATAGACTGTATGTTAAACAGCACTGAAAGTTAGTTGATAATAACATTAAAAAAGATAAAGACTGTTAAACAGCACTCAAAGTTAGTTGATAATAACATTAAAAAAGATAAAGACTGTTAAACAGCACTCAAAGTTGGTTGATAATAACGTTAAAAAAGATAAAGACTGTATGTTAAACAGCACTCAAAGTTAGTTATGTAAGTCCTCGTGTTTCTCATAACATGCATGAACAGAAAAGAAGTTTTTCGAATTTAACGTCTTATCGAATATTTTAATGTACTGTTGCTGTCCTTGATAGATGGATGTGTTAGTTAGCTTTTTCTTTTGATTACTCTTTAAAAGATCACTATAAAAGCGAGACAACAAATTGAAATATTTTAATACTGTTTGTTGATATTTAGAATTTGAAATCGAAAGTGATCGCCCATTAAATATTATTAGAACTATTTATGTTATTACATCAAATACTATTAATCAATGTTCATTAGAACTATTTATGTTATTACATCAAATACTATTAAGCAATGTTCATTAGAACTATTTATGTTATTACATCAAATACTATTAATCAATGTTCATTAGAACTATTTGTGTTATTACATCAAATACTATTAAGCAATGTTCATTAGAACTATTTATGTTATTACATCAAATACTATTAATCAATGTTCATTAGAACTATTTATGTTATTACATCAAATACTATTAAGCAATGTTCATTAGAACTATTTATGTTATTACATCAAATACTATTAAGCATTGTTCATTTGTTTTGAACTCAATTATTCAGTGGCATCAGTATTATTTTTAAGATACATTAAGTCAATGAATAATAAAATATTTTTACTTTAAAATATACAAACAAATCTAATACATTGGTAATCACGAAAGGGTTGAATGTACTACATGCGACGTCATATCCTACCAATACAGGCTTGCTTATCGGCTACAGATGATATAATAAGTTCCATCAGATCTAACAGAGGTTGTAAACTGGAGATTCGTTATCTTAGTCTTACCTTTTTCTTCCAAGGCCAAGCTGATAACAGGTAGTACCATGAAAAACATGTCTGACAGTGACATTAGATTGAACAAAAGTGCACAAAGCATTTTTGCACTTTAAAGATAATGTTTTTAACCACATGAAACGAACTAATAACTTCTATATTTCAGTAATGAAAATAAAATTACACATTACACAATAACTTAAATTTTGAACAGCACAGCAGTTATCTGAGCAGTAGGTAGCAGACGCTTCTTTCACCAACTCACGGGTCTCCCGCATTCGAACTACAGGAACGAGTAATGACTAGCTGAAAATCTGATTGGCAGAATTTTTTCTAACTGATATTGCTATTAGGGTATAATTAAATCACAATCAACGAAAGGATTGTTATCGTTAAATAAACGTTTTAATCTAGAATTAGAATTTCAATTAAAGCATAAAAAATGATACACTTCTAACAACTCAAACGTTTTTTTAACATTTCAGTACGTTGCCATCTAGCGGTAGCAATTTGTAACTAATATATTATAAATCACAGCTCAAAAGTTTGTTCAAGTAAAAAAATGCTAGCTCAGCGGTTAGTTCGATCACTGCGATTGGCACAACGCATACAACCAATTGTGCAGCTGTACGCTTAAACACACAAAACAAATAATAACGAATTTATTTATTTAAATTGCAGCTTATATTCAAGAAAAAAACAAAACAATAACATTCTGGAGATTTATAATTAATATGAAGAGAATTTTCTTTCACTAAAAATATAATTTAGCGTAGCAAAAGTTCATCCTTCACTTATTAGTAATTGCATTAGATTCAAATTGTTCCGAACGAATTGGGTTTGCAATTAGTTCTTATAAAATGTGTTGAATAAGCAAACCTTAGTAAGGACTAACTTTATACTTTTGCCCATTGAGAAGTCTAACAAATATTGTTGATATTCATATACTGTTTGAAACACATCCTCTTGAATTTTTATACTTTCTGTTTTTGGACTCCTTCAACATTTTGTTTGAAGTTAGCCGTTTGCTACTTTGTTTATCAAATGACTATAAGTATAAATACTGCGAAATCACATTAGATTTTATTATGCTGTACAATACAGAAAGAAAACCCAAATTATGAGTTTATGTTTGAGATTTTAAAATATGATTTTTTGGAAATTGCGTTGATATCACCACATCAGTAAACAAACCGTAGATTCAAATACAGTCCATAATCCTTGGAAGTTACGGCAATTATTCAGTAAATTAAAATTGTAATGTGTTTGTATTATTTGTAATGTGTCAACAGGGCTACCTCTTTCTAGGTTTTCAGTAAATAAACTCTAGATCACCAAGATACCCCATGTCTATGTAGTGTGCAAACAGGGTTACCTCTACGTTTTCAATAAACAAACATTAGGTGTTCAAGACACCCTATGTTACTATGTATATAACGTGTCAACAGGGTTGCCTCTACGTTTTCAATAAACAAAAATTAGGTTCCAAGACACCCTATGTTACTATGTATATAACGTGTCAACAGGGTTGCCTCTACGTTTTCAATAAACAAACATTAGGTGTTCAAGACACCCTATGTTACTATGTATATAACGTGTCAACAGGGTTGCCTCTACGTTTTCAATAAACAAACATTAGGTGTTCAAGACACCCTATGTTACTATGTATATAACGTGTCAACAGGGTTGCCTCTACGTTTTCAATAAACAAACATTAGGTGTTCAAGACACCCTATGTTACTATGTACGAGGCCCGGCATGGCCAGGTGGTCAAGGCACTCGATTCGCAATCTGAGGGTCGCGAGTTCGAATCCCTGTCATACTAAACATGCTCGCCCTTTCAGTCGTGGGGGCGTTATAACGTGACGGTCAATCCCACTATTCGTTGGTAAAAGAGTAGCCCAAGAGTTGGCGGTGGGTGGTGATGACTAGCTGCCTTCCCTCTAGTCTTACACTGCTAAATTAGGGACGGCTAGCGCAGATAGCCCTCGTGTAGCTTTGCGCGAAATCACAAAAACAAACAATCTATGTATGTAATGTATCATCAGGGTTACTTCTACGTTTTCAGTAAACAAACACTAGATTACCAAGATACCATGTGTTACCATGTATGTAATGTGTCAACAGGGCTACCTCTACGTTTTTAGTAAATAAACACTAGATTACCAAGATACCCTATGTTACCATGTTGTGTCAACAGGGCTACCTCTACGTTTTTAGTAAATAAACACTAGATTACCAAGATACACTGTGTTACCATGTATGTAATGTATCAACAGGGCTACCTCTACGTTTTTAGTAAACAAACACTAGATTACCAAGATACACTGTGTTACCATGTATGTAATGTATCAACAGGGCTACCTCTACGTTTTTAGTAAATAAACACTAGATTACCAAGATACCCTGTGTTACCATGTATGTAATGTGTCAACATGGCTACCTCTACGTTTTTTTAGATAACCTGCTAACTTCATAATGTTTACAGATTTTCAATTAAATTAATGACTGTAGCTGTGTTCGAGCCTTACATCTGCATAAATAGCATGTTAAAACTTCGATGTTGCTTTTGTTAAACGTAAAAATACGTAAAGAGCCATCTGTATCGAAACTTGATTTTTGGCTCTCATTCTTACTTCAAAGCCATTGGGAGGGGCATTAAAACTTCGAATCAGATTGTAGAAATTCATAACTTGATGAATACTACACATTGCTTTACTGATAATTGAAGTTAATTATAAATATTTATTTAAGATGTTTACCTTATAGCATGCTGGTGTACTTTGGTGACAGATTTTCTTGTAGGCAGATTTTGTTGAATAAGACCGAATAACAACGTTAAAACGGCTTATCGACTTCTTGAGAAGATTTCCAAGAAGAAAGTAAACCTACAGACATCGGTCTTATTCAACAAAATCTGCTTATAGCATGCTTAAATGCTTTAGTTCTGGTTTTTGCATCATTAAAATGTTTGAGGTTATGTAATCATTCACAAACAATTCACTAAGGATTAATTTGAAACAAAAACTTAAAACTTATTATTTTACCTAATAATGAAATTTTTATATTCTGTTCAAATTTCAAGAAATTTACTTGCAGCAAAATATACAGAAATTAGTCGGTTTTTTCCCGATTCGTTTTAGCAACTTAGCACAATGTGAAAACATTTAAGTACGACAAGTATTGCCACATAGTAAACTCGTGTTTAACAAATTACAACATACATTGTAAGTACATTAAACTCTCAACAGTTTTTACAGTTGGGAGAAATATCCTTGATAAAGTGCCGGAACTTTCTGAAACACATAAAGCTACCCAGTGGCACAGCGGTATGTTTGGGGACTTATACTGCTAGAAACCGGGTTTCGATACCCGTGGTGGGCATAGCACAGATAGCTCATTGTGTAGCTTTGTGCTTAACTACAAAGAAACACGTAAAAACAATTCAGGTGAATTATCATAACTCCAATGTACGAAATTAAAGACATTTCTTTAGCTATTTTAGTAACGTATTATATAGTTGATATTCGACCAAACAATTTTTTGATATATATATATATATATACTTTCTTTGAATAAAATACATACAAATTTTATGCTTTTTATAGTATATAGGTTTTTCATTACATTCATATATAAATATACAAATCTCTCTCGTGAGATATTTTATAGTAATGTCTTAGAGAAAAATGTTGCCCTTTCTTTTTATTTATGCTTTTGTTATGGACATCTGGACTCGTTCTGAAGTTGTCTATGCCAGAGTTTTCTGTATCTGGTTTTGATGTATTTGAAGATGACTCCGCTTTTTTCTCAGTTAGAGGTGTGGTTTTGGATACTGTGGGATCAAATACTTTGATTACTTACTGACAAGAAAATATACTTTATATATTGTATTTACATCAGAAGACATAAATTTAAAAAACCTAACGAGGAACAGTGAAAATACGAAAAAGATAACTTCAGATATCGATGATTCTTTTATAAAGGGTGAGTGCACACATTTCCAAAGAATACTTCATTACACATACATTACTTCAGGAAAAAATAACAGAATATTATATAGTAGATGTAAACAAACTGCGGTCGACGAATGATGGTGTTAACATCCACAAAATGGCAACTGGAAGTGGCATTTGTTTAAAGTAACGCACTGTACCGACTGATGTTAACATCCACAAAATGGCAACTGTAAGTGGCATTTGTTTAAAGTAACGCACTGTACCGACTGATGTTAACATCCACAAAATGGCAACTGGAAATGGCATTTGTTTAAAGTAACGCACTGTACCGACTGATGTTAACATCCACAAAATGGCCACTGGAAGTGGCATTTGTTTAAAGTAACGCACTGTACCGACTGATGTTAACATCCACAAAATGGCCACTGGAAGTGGCATTTGTTTAAAGTAACGCACTGTACCGACTACTATGACTTACAGAAAATGAAATATCTTTCTTTCTGAATACCATTTGTAGAAATCAACGCCAAGTAAAGAACAGCATACACAGGATGTAAAGAATAATCGTCTAGCGCAGCTGCGCTATACTTTACTTTTGGAATGATTTTTGCTACACACACTTATGACATTGAAAAGCAGAAAAAAACACAAAAGTTAATGACGTGTTTGTATTTGCTAAAGCTTCTCTCTTAAATCTACATATCCATAATAAAAATCAATTTATAATTAATACAGCATAAAATTAATCCAAAAGATTGAAGTTTCACCTACTCATTAAAGCTAGTCAAAGACAAAGTTTTGATCAAACTTCAGTTCATAAAATTTGACCATTCTTTTAATAAGTTAATTTGCCAAATTAAAAATGCACTATTGTCAGGTTTTTATAAGGCTGGATTATTTACAGTTGGCGATGAATTTCAACAATAAACAGAAAGTCACAATCCACTTGTTGTAAAATAATATATTCAAAACAAATTGAAAAGTATGATCACAAATGCGTTACACTTTTGGTTATCACATTTGTATCAAGAGCTTTAAATAATTGTCTCTTTTTCGTCAAAGTCCACACAGGCTAGTTCAGTAACTTTAGAACACAATTGACAAGACAAATTATTGTCCTCCATCTCCATTGTTACAAAACAAGATGTAAAACTCACTTTAGAAATCGCTTTCACTTATTTAGTTAATTAACTTTTGCTAACTTACTTAACTTCACTAACTTGATCGCCTATATATGTATATTGCCCGAATGAGGCCTAGAACTTTCTACAAACTACGAAATGCTATGATGTAACAACACCCACTTAAAGCAACGAGTAACGTGATGTCAATACACAGCAATTTAACTACACAACAAATGATTCGTAAAGTTACTTAAGCAAACCTGCAATAAATTATCGCTTCTAAAAATACTAAATTTAACATTCGCGCTTTATAACTATCTAAATCATAACTCTCGTATTACATTTAAACGAAACTGTTGTGTATTTTTAACACACACATATTTACACATACACACACACACACACATATATATATATAGTAAGCAGAAACATGTTGATACTGTTGGAGCTTTTATCAGAGGCTGTACACACATGCACGTTTACTGTTGTAGCTTTTATCAGAGGCTGTACACACATGCACGTTTACTGTTGTAGCTTTTATCAGAGGCTGTACACACATGCACGTTTACTGTTGTAGCTTTTATCAGAGGCTGTACACACATGCACGTTTACTGTTGTAGCTTTTATCAGAGGCTGTACACACATGCACGTTTACTGTTGGAGCTTTTATCAGAGGCTGTACACACATGCACGTTTACTGTTGTTGTTGTTGCTTTGCGTGTTTGGAAATTTGAACACTTTGAAGGTATAACATGTTTTCCAGGACTAACAGCACTTTATAATTAATAAATATATTTTTTACTTCAGTATGGTAATAATTATTAAGCAATTCTAGCAGATTGTACATATTAAAAGTACATATTGAGAATTACATAATATCACGTTCGTAGGTAATTTTACCACAATTGTAATATAATTAATCAATTGTAATAGTGGGTGCGTGAAAGTAGTCTTTTGCCTGGTCAAATACAAAAGTAATTCCATACTTTTTGAAAAAAATAATGGAAGTGAAAAAATAACAGAAATAGAAAAATTACTTAATTTTTGTATTTGAATTCAATGAACATTTAATCATGGCAATGATTCTAATTTCTTCTGGCAATTTTAATTACAAATACAAAATTAAGTAATTATTATATTTCAAGCATTTTTTTTTCACTTATAATTAATAATAAAAGAACACACTTGTAAAATGTATTGTTACACCGTACTAATAACATAAGATACTAACAAAAAAAAATAAATTTCTATAAGATATCTCCTAACTGAAAACATGTTACAAAAATAGGAGAATACATTTTTTCTCTTACATAAAGTGAAATATTAACTATATCACGAAGTAACAATACAATTAATTGTATACCATCTCAAACAAAGCTACTTGTGTACTATACCTTCTTTAACTTCTTCTATCTGTTTTAAAATTTTGCTTTGTGCCAACTTGAGGACTCTCTGGATACTACTGTCTTTATGCTGTCGGGCAAATCTTAGAGCCACGTCGAAAGCTTCTAATGCTTCCTCGAAGTTCCCTCCCATAACTAAAACATAAATGAATAATTTAGCCAAAACTAATTACTAGCTATTTTATAGAAATAGTACAGTATAAATCAGAATAATATACAAAATATTTTAACAGTATCTACGTAACTTACCTACACAAACTTCACGCTAATCAACTAGTAATGGATACTTTCAATGATGTGCGGTATCTCTTTATCAGTAGATGTGAAAAGTTTTTGGGGCTCAGTTTTATCTGAACCAGTCATCGATAATATCTAGTGATCGAAACGAAAATATTCTTTACGTTTCCTTCTAATTATTAGTTGAAAACATCAAAATTACTATAGAGGTTACATATAACACACACACAATGTGTGGAACGCTCAAAGTAAAATATTATAAACAGTTTTAAGCATGTGAGCTTCCTTTAATCAATACTGAGGTTGTTGAAGACCAATGGTAACAACCTCCATATCCACTCACCTTACACCTGGCATGTGACTACACAGACTAAAAGCCATAACTCACTTAAAAAATGATAAAAATTCAAATTAAAAAGACGTCTATACTTTTGCGTTCTTGAACCTTAAACAGTAAAATGTTAAGCTTATGTAGAAAAAAAAATGGGCCTAATGTGTGAATTTAATAACAATTTTCATTGGTTAGTTAGTTGACGCAAAGTACAAAGCACTTTTAGAAGCAAGAACCATTTAACCAAAAGTTATACTGGAATATGTTTTGCGCCCAAATATTTCATGTATACATAATGTGTGTTAAATAACAGTAGAAATAAAACTTCTTAGTTTTAGAACAAAAATACTGAAATACAATCCATTAAAACTGAAATTTATATAACAATTATAAAACAATTCAAACGAATCTTATACTCTTAAGTAATATATTTTACAATTCACACATGGAGTTATGTAGAATTATGATTTTTTAAGAATAAAGGCGATTCAAAGACTAAAATTTAAATACATATTGAAAGATCCAATGTAAACAGAAAGTTTTATCAACAGTCGAGTAATTTGGTTAACTACTCGCGCAAAAAATATATATCGCTAGGTGTCACTATCAGTAAAGTATATTTATCATACAGTATTACATGTGACCCGCACTTCTAAAGATTTATTTTCAAAAAGACGAAATGCCATATGTAATAAACCCCTTCAAATCTTAATTACGTCAAACATTCAATAGTAGTGTCGATTTTATGTAAAAATGAAGTTGATGAAAATACATTGTTAACCCACATGGTTTGTAGAGTAAAGCCGTAAGGCAAAGGATTTTTTTGTTCAATTTCGAACAAAACTACCCGAAGGTTATCTACGCTAGCTGTTCGTAATTTATAAGTTAGCCTTCCGTATGAAACGATCTAACCGATGGGAGAATTTAACTTCGATTTATCCTTCTGTATGGAACAGTTTAGTAGAAAAACTTCACCACTAGTTAAACTATTCCATAAGGGAAGGTAAATCGAGCTTAGTTTCTACTAAACTGTTCCATACAGAAGAATACATCAACGTTAGTCTGCAACATTAGTTAATCCATTCCATAAGGGAAGATAAATCGAGCTTAGTTTTTACTAAACTGTTCCATATAGAAGAATAAGTCAAGGTTAGACTTCACAACTAGTTAAGCTATTCCATAAGGGAAGATAAATCGAGCTTAGTAACCTTGACTTATTCTTCTATATTGAACAGTTTAGTAGAAACTAATCAAGGTTAGACTTCACCACTAGTTAAGCTATTCCATAAAGGAAGATAAATCGAGCTTTATTCTTCTATATGGAACAGTTTAGTAAAACCTAAGCTCGATTTATCTTCCCTTATGGAATGGATTAACTAATGGTGCAGACTAACGTTGATGTATTCTTCTGTATGGAACAGTTTAGTTGAAACTAAGCTCGATTTATATTTCCTTGTGGAATAGCTTAACTAGTGGTGAAGTCTAATCTTGACTTATTCTTCTATATTGAACAGTTTAGTAGAAACTAAGCTCGATTTATCTTCCCTTATGGAATAGCTTAACTAGTTGTGAAGTCTAACCTTGACTTATTCTTCTATATGGAACAGTTTAGTAGAAACTAAGCTCGATTTATCTTCCCTTATGGAATAGCTTAACTAGTGGTGAAGTCTAACCTTGATTTATTCTTCTATATGGAACAGTTTAGTAGAAACTAAGCTCGATTTATCTTCCCTTATGGAATAGCTTAACTAGTGGTGAAGTCTAACCTTGATTTATTCTTCTATATGGAACAGTTTAGTTGAAACTAAGCTCGATTTATCTTTCCTTATGGAATATTTTAAGAAGTGGTGGAGTCTAACATTGACTTATTCTTCTACGTGGAACAATTTATCCGTTGATAGAATGTAATCTCGATTTGCATATTTCTTAATGGATAATTAATTGGCAGAAGACACTAAATCACACCTTCAGCATGTCCAATTAGCACGCTCGAGTTCAATTGCCACACTACATCTTTCGCTTCTGAAGCATACTCCAATGATTTTTTACCATACTCCTTCGCCTTTATGTCTTCGTTTAACTCCAAATAGCACCGTCCGAGCTCGTGGTGCAGCCATGCTTTCTCGATGGTCAAATTACACAGTGGGATTTTCATTTCCCACCTGTAAAATAAACAACAACAACAAAAACATTATATGTTATTAAAAGCATAACAAATTCAGCAGTAAGTCCAAATTAAAAGTGCCTTCAAACTACAAGAAGTTTCAAGAATTTAAAAAATATGAGTGCGCAAAACATTTTGTTTAACTCACACTTCGATGGCTTTATCAAGCTCATGTCTCAAAGCAAATATTCGTCCGATGTTGTCCAAAGCTCTGGATCGACATTCTTCAAGGTTACTAAAAACAAAATACGAGATTTATAAGAACGAACAATACCTTAACATCTGTAAAGACACGCTCCCGGTTATTTCCAAGAACAAGTCTTTCATTCTCCTTGGATTGAACATGCTTAAAGGAAACTCGTGTAAAATTTAAAACTCTAAACTACATATCAAAAAAGTAAAAACATTTTATTAAGTATTGTATCAATCCAAGGATTACAAAGTCTGATGCTTTGAAAAGCTAGTGATCATGTAAAAAATTGAAACAACAATTTAACTCTTAAGTACAAAGAAAATACGAAGCCTGTGTTAATTTACTTCCTTATGTATATATATGTGTGTGTGTATACAAAGGTCGAACATGTTAAATTAAAATGGTTTTGGAGCCTCATCATGTCGTTACAGTCCATGTCACCACGTCCGATCATACTTTACCCGATGATCCTGCATCTTAACAATAATCCTGCAGCGTAGTTTCCATTGCAAAAGGTTCCGTTATTAGTGTGTGATGTTCATAATCCATCCAGTTAAGCCCCTTTCAGCAGTCCGATCGCACAGAGATCCACAGGTGCTGCGTCCGGTGAACTTACCGGCACATCTTCATGTTAGTTTGAATAACCGTTTTATTATCCAGGTGCTTGAGATATGCACGGTTCAACGGATATGTCATGGAAGCAGCTTATCAACTCGTGACAACTGTCGCTTTTCCAAAGGGAGATCCTTCTTGATTATGTTGTGTACTGATGCTCGAGGCACGTGGACGGTTTTTGCCACTGACCTATGGATTGTCACCTATTACAAGACGTTGAACTTTGCATACGACGGCTGGGATACGACTTGTTACAGTTCTCTTTCCAGATCGTCCTACTCTACCAAGTTGATCCATATTCCTTTGTTTTAAATGTCACTAAGTACAAGGGATATCCCTTTCTTGGAAATTCTGAATCCAGATCTGATCACATATTTATGATTTGAGTGTATGAATATTTTGCGTTCGAAAGGTTGTTACATACTCATCCCAAAATCGATTAATTTTCGGGGACATAAAACTACCTACAAAACGCCAACCAATGTAGAAATGTAGTTTTGATACATTCCGTTCCACCACAATATTATATAATCTGTGGTTACTGATTTGAATATAATATAGCGCTCTCAATCATCTGTATATAAACAATCTAACAAAATTAATCTTTTGGGTAGAGCTAAACGAAATAAGGTTTACAAAATATACATGATACCCAGAAGGTGAAGCAAATAAAACCATTTTCACTCTTTTTGTCTATTTTATTCTTGAGTATATGAATGGGTTGTACCTACGTAGTGATATTTTATTCTTTTGTACTTTCAGCCTTTTTATTTCTTGTTGTTCTGCATTTGTCTTAAGCTTTATAATAATAAAAAAATGCTGGAATAACTGGAAAAAGATGAAAATGCATTGTAAAAAAAATTTACGAAAGTACGAAAAAGTACCGGTAGTAAATTTTCAGAAACTTTTTACAAAGTCTCGTATTTTAACAGAAAATATTTTGAAAAACTCGTAAAAATGAAATAATTGTAAAATTCCCATAAAACGTTTTTTTTTAGAGTGTAATATACTTACTGTAGCTCTCCCAGCTCCAAGTCTTTTTGATGAAACTGCAGGGCTGCCCCGAGATCACCTAATTCCATGTGTGCAGAACCTATGTTGCTGTAAACTGTGGCTAAAATCTCGGTTTTATTGGGAAGATGTTCCTCTGGACAATCGTCAAGAAACTTTGTTAGAGCATTACCCTTATCAAGGCTCTTCTGGTACTGTCCATTACACAACGCTAGAAATGATAAAAAGGAAACACATTTTCTTATAAGTAACAACTATTACTACCGTACACATATACACTACCTTCTACAGAAAAACTTGGCACATATCTATGTTTGGTATTACGGTTATACTTATCACGCTTGAACCTTATTCAAATGTAGAAAAGAACTAAATATATTTTAAACACTGATTCCAGTAACGGTTAATTAATTATATATATATGTGTGTGTAGTGTTTCTATTCTGTAACTTTTCTCTGCGTGTGTTTCCTTTAGTTTGAAACTATCATTTTTCAATTAAACAAAAGAGTATGAATAAATAAATGCCTGATAGTTTGATACCTACAACAGGCTTAAACTCGTCTTAGTACTTGTTTAGTTTAAGAAGCTTGGTTAACGTCGTGAAATATTATACTAATGCTACAGAACTACAGAAAAAATCTCCCCACGCCGTTTCTGAAAGAACTACAGCAATATTTATTAGTCAACCTTGTTGCTCTGTGGAGCTATATGAGTAAGATTTATTTCGCTTGTATTCGTTGATATAAAACATCGATAACGCATTGAAATTCAGACAGAGTGTCACTAAGTGTGCTAAAGACTGAATCAGACTAGTGCTCTGAATAACTTGTCTTTCTTGTCATCTACAATCATCAATGATATGTATTACACAAAACAGTTAAGATAACTATTAGGTTGTCAAGAAATTAATGTTGCGTTTTGGAACACTTTCATAACCCCCCCCCCAAAAAAAAACACATTACATCACGTGTAATAGTTAAATGAACCCCCTAAACATCACGTTAGTGTAGCCTATTTTACGTGTAAAGTTGAGTATACTCTAATCCCTTATAGTGATGGCACACGACGAGACACACATTCGGCATGTAATGCTGTTTGAATACAAGAAGGGAAACAACGCCTCTGTAGCCACAAATAATATCAAAGAAGTTTATGGAAATGTTTTGAACGTTCGTAAGTGGAAATGATGATTCAGCAAATTTCGTTCAGGTGACTTTAGCCTTAAAAACTGTGATGGCAGGGGCCGACATGTTGGAATTGATATCGATGCTCTGAAGACGCTTGTTGAGTCTAACCCAAGGCAACACACTCACCCGTGAAATGGCCTGAAATTGCATGTATCTCATGAAAAAAATACGTTAACATCTAAGGAATATGGGAAAACTCCATAAAGAACGTGTTTCGGTGGCTCACGAACTCATCGTTTCCAACGTGTGAACGTTGCTTCGTCTCTTCTGGTGCGTAATGCGCATGAACCATTTTTTGGACAGAATTGTCACCCGTGATGAAAAACGGATTCTCTTTGCGAATATTAAACGCCAAAAGCAACGGCTCAGTCCTAGATAAAAACCACTTCCGATCCCCAAACCTGGGCTCCATCCGCACAAAGTGGTGCTTTACATTTGGTTGGAAATCAAAGAAGGAATTCATTTCTTTTTTGTTTTCTAAATAAATTGTTTTTTTTTATATCGTATTATTTTACTTATGTAATTAACAGATATTTTATTTGGAATGTCTGTCCCCGAAAATGTTTTTGGAATTTTATTGATCCATGATTACCAAAAGTCTGGGAACCACTGGTTTAGGTTATCTATACATAATAAACTTGTTAGTTCAACTCAAGCCTATGTTACTAGGTAAACATGCAGTTGCAATTTCCCAAACGAGAGACCGTTTAAAAATTACTTTACTTTCCATCAGATTATTTTCAAACCATAAATAACATAAGTATTGCCAGAACTTTTAATTCATGGGCATTATGTTAAGTCAACATCAGAACTTATAGCTAATTTTTTAGGTTCAGATCTATTAGTTACCCGTAACTAACAAGTGTTGCTGACCAAGTTTCCATTATTATCAGGTTCTTTTCCTCCACAAAACACTAGAGTAGCTTAACACTGAGTCTTGATTAAACTTACCATCATCTATCTCTTCCAACATTTCCATAACTTGTTTAGTTATTTTCTTTCTCGCTTCTTGATCTTTTTGTTGTTTTCGTTTCTCTTCAGCTTTTTCAAACTTATCGTTTTGACCGACGATACTTCCCCTTCTGTTGCCCCCTGATCGTGCACGTGCTCGAGCAAAGCGACGGTGGCGCTCCCTAACGTACAGAGGTTTTTGTTGGTGCCAAAAATTTTGCCGCGACTGAAGGAAATCTAAGGCGTCCTGGGCATGTTCACAAACTTCTTTACCTTTAGTACGAGTCAGATCTAGAGACATTGGTGATATGTAACAAATATACAATACACCTCTTTTTCAAACGAAAAACATTAACTCTATAAATTCAAAATTTCTAACATATACAACAAATCTTGCTAAAATCTGAACTTGAAACTATTAGTCTTACTAAAGAACGGCCCGAGAGTTGTCTCAACCTAACACTCATCACACTTCCAACTGCGGATGTGTTATAAAAGCGACAATCAATCTTCCATACGATTCAAAGTAGCCGATTCAAGCAGAGAGTGCTGCTTTCTCTCTCTGGTTCACAGTTTAAAACTAGAATCTCTACTTGGCCGTTTAGCACATTGTACACGAAGAGTAAGTAGACCAGGTGACCAAACAAACAAACTAGCTATGAAAACCCACAACTGTTACCAAAAATTAGCGATAACTCTCCCGAAAATTCAGGTGTGAAAATCTGTAAGTCTTAATAAAGTATAATAATGAAAATATAAAGTTTAACGAAACTCGAAAAAAAATCATATATCTTATTAACATATACTTTAAAATCTATAAGTAAAAAAAAAAACAGTCTAGGATTAGCTTTTGCTGTGTCTTCAGTGTTTTTGTGTTGTACCTTGCGCTACAACACGTTTAGTAATATATTTGTACCTTGCGCTACAACACGTTTAGTAATATAGTTGTACCTTGCGCTACAACACGTTTAGTAATATATTTGTCATAAAATACCATTTAAAGCGAAATCTTACCTTTATTTTTGAGTAATTTCTCAATAAACATTTTATCAACAGCTAGCTCGCCGAGGAGCAGTTTGGTATTTTTATGTTCTTCTGTCAGTAAAGTGGAATCTACGTTGCCACGACCACTTGATGCTTTTCCTCTCTGACATCCAAGATTCACAAGAACATGTAATATTGAAAATATATTAAAATTTTATATCGAAAATATATTAGCTTGAGTCTAAGTTATACTGAAAAATTATTGAGACCGCTTGATTTTTTAATTTTTTTTAAAGTAAGTCAATTCGCTATACGGTACTGATACCTGCTCCCTCTAGGGTCAAAATACGGATTTGTAGCTTGAGAAATTAATGTAGACAGTATTTACAGCCCAGTTTGTTTACTTTTTTTAAATTCACTAGTTGTAGGCTTCAAAATATAATACTTGCATTTTGATACAACTTGTTTCTGCATTGTTTTGACGTTCCCCGTTCCCCTTCTTAAGTTAACAATTTTTAATTATTTTGTTTCCTAAGTTTTGAGGCCAGATGGTTAAGGTGCTTGACTCGCAGTCCAAGGTTCGCGGGTTCGAATCCCTGTCTCATCAAACATGCTCGCCCTTTCAGTCGTGGAGGCGTTATAATGTGACGGTCAATCCCACTATTCGCTGATATAAGAGTAGCCCAAGAGTTGTCGGTGATGAATAGCTGCTTTCCCTCTAGTCTTTCACTGCTAAATTAGGGACAGCTAGCGCAAATAGCTCTGGTGTAGCTTTGCGCGAAATTCAAACCAAACTTAAGTAGTTTATGTCCATTTATGGAGCATAGATTTTAAACTACATACGTATATATACTTTCAGTTGAATGCTACATGTTTTTCAACAGTTTCCTACTCCTTTGGCTTTTTTTTACACCAACCATTATTTACTGAACCAAGTGGTTTTGTGCCTGAGGTTTCATGTAAACACGCGTTTAACAAACGTCGAGTACAAAGGAAGCCGCTTACAACAACATTGCATATATTATGTATTTATAGCCAATAAAATCAACTTTCAATGAAAAATAGGTCATATATTCTGAGTACAGAGTACAGTTTTTCGCAAAATATCCCTATCTTTAGGCCCAGAGCTATTCAAACTTATTAAAAACACACATTTTGAGAATTAAAATCTCTGATCTAATAAATAAAACTATGTTGTAAATTCTCGAAGAAAACAAAAACACTTTCAACCACTTACAGCACATTAAAAAGCCGACAACGAATAATACCCCTATCACATTTCAATCTAAAAACAGTACAAGAGATGAGTCTGAAATTTGTGTTGGATCTCCTGTAAACAGAACAATGAAAGGATGACGGTTATAGTTTACAGCAAAATTTTACTTTGCATTCTTCTATTACGTTTTCTACATTTATATTATTTTAAATATCCTTTTGTACAGTATATCAAGGTAAAGATGCTTAAAAAAATGACTATTGTTTGGTTATGCTGATTGTATTTACTTATTTATGTAACAATAAATAAAAAATATGTCATGATCTTTAAAACAAAAGAACTGAGAAAAAATGAATTTATAAACGATTCTTTTCTCACCTTGCACGTTGAATCTCTCTTGATCCCAAGCTTTATTCCTGCTTCTTCTGTAAATAAGATGAAATTTTGCAGCACAATAAAGTTTTATTGTTACTAAAGTAAAAATGATAATCAAGTCTTACGGATTTTAACCTTATTAAAAACTTTGAAGTAAAAGGAATTTCCACTAAAGTTATCTTTAGGAATTGTTAATATGGAAAGCACGTTATCGATTACGTAATGCATATTTAATAAGTTTTTAACATATGTTGCACGCAAAGCCTTCTTTCCTGTATCTAAAGAACTGTTTCCTTGCATGGCTGAGCATGTACCAAAAGTCTCTCTAATGACACAGTCACTTCGAAACTATGTCAATGACAACGTTTTACGGTGTAAAGATAAATGGATGATTATTAAATAGAATAAAGGACACAATCACATATATGTGCAATAATGATAATCATTTTACAACTTAGAAAATTCAAAGTGCTTCTTAAAGCAAGTTACTCCTTTATGCTCCTAGCCAAACAACATATTTAATAACCACTGATATAATATGTTAGTATATCAGTAAAAGGTTTTGACTCAAGTTGTTTTTCTTACAAGAAGATTATGGTCTTGATCAACACATTCTTAGGAATTCTTCATCAATAACATGCAGTATGTGATTCCTGCAATATAACGGAAATAAGAACACCATGTTCTTAAATCACATGATTAACTACATCAAGTTAGTGGCTAGTATTTTAACCTGAGAAAATTTAAAATAAAAATATACAAGATTGTTTATTGAAACTCAAATAACTTAATTCACTTTAATCTTTGAAGGCCCCGTAGTTATTCAGCAGCAAGTCTGAATGCTTGTAACGCTAAAAACCAGGTTTCGATACCGGTGATGAGCACAGACAGCCTATTGTATAGCTTTGCGCTTAACAACAAACAAATAAATAATCTGGGATAATATCTGATAATGTAAAAACAATGATAAATTCCAATATTTATACTTAGTTAAAGAAATTTGAGTTTATAACTTATACGATTATCTTCATTGTTATATAAAAGTTATTTTGTATTCTGCATCCCTAGTCACCAAAATTTCATTCGATTATCACCACCAGGATAAACTTCATAATAGGTTATCTGCGCTGTGCCCACCGCAAGTTTCATTTCCCGAATTTTAGTATTATAAGCCCTAAAGCTTAACACTGAGCCGCAGAAAAAGTAATAAGCTAAAAAACATAGGTTAAATACAGTTATATTATATTCTTTTATATTTGCTCATACTTGAACCTACTTCCGATGGAATTGTCTATGGCTTTTTGAGATTTTTGAATGCCAAGTTTGAACTCCTCTATTTCAGGTCGCAGTTTGTGACCTCGGTGATAGAACACCAATGCGTATTCGAAATTACCCATTGTAAACAAGGCTTCAGCTTTTTGATAAAGTGCCTACATAAAATAGAGTAACAACAAATTATTTTAATGTAATTTTGTCACTATTCAGGAAATACGATTAATTATAATGCTCAATAATCTATTGTAATTTCAATAATTTCGACATTTTGCAATGAAATGATCAAATCGGTTGATCTATAACTAAAATATTAAAACCTAAAACAGCATTTCTAAGAGGACAATAAATTCAAAATGTGATATACTACTTAACAAATTTTTCTACAGTGAATTAGAATATAACAATTGAATTCTTTGTAATGAACCAAATAACTGTTAATGAGAAGAAATCTCGAAATATTTAACACTTTTTTACATTTTACTTTCTCTAGTACAACATCAGTTATATGAATCTGAACCAATTCTGTATTGTACATGTGTACATGTGATAGATGGCAGCACAGAGCTGACGAGGAGGATAGTTTTGACACGTTCGTTTCAGAATTTCGCTCAAAACTACATAAAGACTATCTGCGCATAGCTATGCCTACTTTTGAACTGATATACTAGACAGAATGCAAGTAACGAACGACATCCTACTCCAACTCTTAGGCTACTCTAGTCTGACCGAATAGTTCGATTTCACAGTCACTTGTATAGCGCATCCATGGCTTCAAAGTACAAAGTACATTTTTGCGGCAACGGGTCGTAAACCATGAACCCTCGAATTCACAGTTAGGCCACGCCCGACTAATGTTACTTTTATTCCAATCATCCCTTACCGTCTATATACAAACCCTAAGTTTTTCATCGTGCTAGGTGTATCATTTAATTAAAATAGTTGTCTTTCTGCCTACATACAATAACTCTCAAGTATCCATTACGTTAGGTGTATCAAATAGTTACAATAGTTGTATTTCTACCTACCGATTTAAGTGCTATGTTTCTTTTATATAATTCATATGCTTTATTTGTAGCTTTATAGTCTAACTTAATTTTAAGCTGAATGAAAATAAATTTGAAAATTCTAGAAGATCATATTTATCTAGTTAAACCAAAATTAATAACCCATAGTTGTTGTTTTTTGTTGTTGTTGTTTTTGTTGTTCTCAAACTGTCAAACTCCCAGGGAAAAAAATGTATGTATACTATAAGATCGAGTTTAATTTTTCCTTTTTTTATTAAAGGAAACCTTAAGACGTAGTTTCGTGTTTCAATTTGTGGATTATTCACAAGCCGTTCTGGCTATAGACCCATCTCTTTATAGCTAGAAAGTATATAGATACGTATCTCGATCATTGGTTATTCACCGCAAAATATGAAGTGAAAAGTGACTGTATTAAACTAATGGTCTTACTTGGTTATTCACCGCAAAATATGAAGTGAAAAGTGACTGTATTAAACTAATGGTCTTACTTGGTTATTCACCGCAAAATATGAAGTGAAAAGTGACTGTATTAAACTAATGGTCTTACTCGAACACATTCCTTATCTTCAGCAAGTGCTGTCTCAGCATCTCGGAGAGCAGCTTCGCTGTTTCCTAGTTGTAAGTAACACTTGGAACGTGCTACCAAACAGTCCTTATTAGTGGGATGGACGTCTAGGGCCTGAAAAACAACAGCATATATATATATATACTGAGTTTATAATTGATATAATTCTGTTCTTATCTCGTTTGGCCACTCGTCACATGTAGAGATGATGTTTTCGTGATGTCTATATATGTTTGGAACAGTTTCATGCATGTGTTATCAAATATACCTATAATCATATGACATACAATAAAGTGGGAAATTGATATATTTACATGTGTCTTCAAACACAAGAATCCAAACTAAAGTTGTCCTGTCCTGGTTTGATTCATACTATGCTACAGTATATGGTTTCAATTAGAGTACTAAAACTTGACAAGCCCAAACTTGTTCTCAGAAGCTCTCATTACTCATGGGTGTATTTAAACTAAAATAAATATCTAGCAATATATTTTTACAATGTAGAACCAATAAAAGAAATGCTTATATTTCTAACACTAATTATGATATCCTACATTGACCCTGATTCCATTCGTTATTAAGAAGTTCGTAAGAGACAGATGTAAAAGTTAAACCCGAGGTATATCATACTGATCTTTGGTGGTGACGACACGAACGGTCAACAAACGGATTATAAGTAGCTTATCAGTAAACCTCAGATTTTTAAATAAGTACTGGACATTTTTAAATAAGCAATATTTGTTTGTTGTTAAACATAAAGTCAGGGTTTCGATACTCGTGATAGGCACAGCACAGATAGCCCATTGTACAGCTTTTTGCTCAGCGAAGAACAAAAAAGAAAAAAACACAAAATTCACAATGGAATATTTGGGCTCTGCCCACCCTGGTTTTTAGGCCTGAGCCACCAGGGACTTCAGTAAGTAACGGAATGCCACTGAAGTCGTGTAACACAACCAAACAACTTATGGCATTGACTAGAAATGAGGCTGTTATTTGTTTGATTACTGTTTAGCACAAAGCTACATGATAGTTGATCTGTGCTATACCCACTATGGGTATTGAAACTCGATTTTTAGCTAGCGAGCGAGCGTGTGAGGGGTGGGGGTCAGAGAGGAGGTGCCAAGATCCCAGCTTCATTTAGCAGTTGTTTTGTCTGTAGATGGAATTGTTTCAATTCAAGCACTCAGGCACTACTACGAAAGTTAGTGCTTAGTGTTACAAGTCAAGAACAATACTATTTACTATTCAGCCACGTGAGAACATGTTTAATTGGAAATGTGATTATTTTAAGATAAACACACTCTTTTAATTTAAATACAAGTAACATCTTAGAATTTAACAATACTTATATATTGCCAACAAATTATTTATCATAAGGCAAAACTTGAAAGCTGGTTTCCATTGCATAATGTTATTTTTAACACAGGGACATAGAAGCTGGAGATATGGGGGGCAGGGGGACACGTGCTTCCCCAATAATTTCTAACCATCAGGCTATATAAAACACATAAATAAACATTGATATTATTACTGTGTCAATATTTTAAAACTAAAAAAATATTATAGATGATAGCATTACATTTGGCTGGTCTAAACACATATAATAATTTACATTAAATTTCAACCTACTGAAATAAGACATTAATAATTTGTATTCATTTATAAAACCAAGCTACTATTGAATGTATCATGGATCATGAATAATGTATTTTTTCAAGAATTGTCTTTTGAAAAATTGAAAAACTACTAAGTTATTATGTGTAAAATGTGTCCTAATGTTATTTTTTTAGCAAATCCAGATTATGGTATCATTTTAAAATAATCATACATATATTCTAAGTATTTAAACTTATTTATATATCATAACAATCACTTAACTGTATTTTGTTTGCCAATAGGTAAAGCCTAAACTATGTGTTATTTTCCTGGTTGCATTTAAATATAGTATTGTGAGTATAATCAATGATGCTTTGACAACATAATTGAAAAAATGTTAGGAACTGGGAATTTCTTTGTGGACAAATAAAGTTAAAGATAAAGTACTCCTAGGGCTCTGTAACATAACCTTCCGATATTTTTCAGCCAGGTGTACGAGCTTGTCTACCAGTGGAAACTATTTCAGCAGATATATAAGCATATATTAGTATTGGTTTATTCATAATATAATATACAAATTGCAGGTTTATTTGGCACGTTTATTATATAAAAACGTTAAGAACACCATTTATTGACTGACCATCAATCAGGCTTGCATAGCTGTTTCATTATTTAAAAATCTGCCTAACCTTATCAGGTTCGATATTATTAATGATGACAGTACACCTATAAACACAATTTCTACAAGAATAAAGCATTTCAACTTGAAGTTCAAGACGAAGCTCTACTAAGAGAAGGGAATTTCGTGCACGAAGCTATCCTTAACCACGATAACTGGGCCAGAACCTTTATTTCTGTTCAGTAAAAACATTGTTAACAGCACGCAAGCTGGGCGGATTCATTTCTATACATATTTCTTTTTGATATGTATACATACTTTTGATATGCACCACTGAAGTGACGAAAGTTCATATAGATTCTTCCACGCATTTACAAATATGATTTTTTTTAATGATTTAATTTGTATTCAATGAATACAGTATATCAAATAAAATATTCAGTTTTTTGCTTTGTTTCATCGTTACTATATCATTTATACCGTGATAAAAATATATTTTTTTATATCATCGAAATATCATGATACTGCTTTTGAAATATGGAATATTGCTTCCTTTGGAAGGATATAGCATATGTTATCCGAGTCTTAAATGAGCACGTTTCATAACTGTTTTTCATTTTTATATTAGTTCCCCTCTGTCTCAATTGTATACACACCCTCATCCATTATACCGATTGAAATATTCCGATCCTATGATTTTCGTCATTTCCAGCTAAAATGAGAACACTTTCTGTTATAAATCTCAATATGAACTTCCCCACGGGAAAAAAAAAAAAGAGTTTAAAATGAAATAAGTTCCTCGACCTAGGTCCTTGCTAAAATCTAGAGGAAAGATAAAAATGGAAGCCTTTAATATACATAAATTATTTATAAAGCATTTCACACTTTCCAAGAATAAATCAGTTTCAGTTGTTTTCATACAGTATTAGAATAAGTTCAATTTGACAAAAATTAGTTTCCGTTCGATATCTGAAAATTGTTAGTTGGGGTTAATCACACTATAACCGTTGTTAGTTGGGGTTAATCACACTGTAACCGTTGTTAGTTGGGGTTAATCACACTACAACCGTTGTTAGTTGGGGCTAATCACACTATAACCGTTATTAGTTGGGGTTAATAACACTATAACCGTTGTTAGTTGGGGTTAATAACACTATAACCGTTATTAGTTGGGGTTAATAACACTATAACCGTTGTTAGTTGGGGTTAATAACACTATAACCGTTGTTAGTTGAGGTTAATCACACTATAACC